GTTGGGTTTTATTTGAGGGCGACTTTTGTAAGCATCTAGGTATGAGAAAAGAAGCAGAAGAAGCGAGAAATGATGTCAAGATCTGTAGCTGCTTGAAGGAGCACAGCTGCCTGGTGATCTCCAGTTGCCCAGAGGTGTCCAGAGATCCAGGAGATCAGCCAAGAGGTCCTTGAGTTGAAGAGCCAGAGCAGAGCCAAGCTTCCAGTACAAGGGATCCAAGCACTGAAGCAAAACTGTGTGTGACTGACTGGTCTGCTGTAATTTCCCCTCTCCCCCCACTCTGGGGACACACCACACAAAACTTCTCAGACTTGGAGGATTCTTCCTCTGGGTTATAAGGAATCCAGAATTCAGGGACAAGAAGCTTTCAGAGATGTTACTTTGGAAAGTTCTTTTGACTCTCTAAAACATGATGTTCTTACAGGTTATTTTTTGCTGCCATTTGTGCATAACAAGGTAAAAAGCTACAGAACCGAATGACTTTATTTGAAATACACTGTTCTATTAGAATAAAGAGGTAGCAACCACAAATACGTGCCTGCCAGATAAGAATCAGGAGTTGTTTTTTTAAGAAATACTTTGTTAGATCCTCCTGTCAACCTTTTAAACTGTGCAAACATCCAGTGTAGCATGTGTGCATAAAACATCTTTAATGGAGTAATAATCTCTAGTTAATAATTAAATTTCCAGGAGCTTTTGTAATTTGTGGATGCTACAACATTTAATCTCTTTATGTGAGACTTCTTAAAGAGGAATATTCAGTATTTGAGTTTCATGAAGGGAATCCTGGCCTTACATAAATGCTGATTTAATACAGCACAGGTTTAACTTGTTATTAGTGTAAAGGAGAAAAACTGATGTCTCAGACTGCAGCTGATGCTGGATTTGGAGGTACAGGTAAATTTGTTGGGCTGTTGCTTGTCAAACTTGCTCAGAGGCACATTAATGAGAGTCACAAGTGCTGCATTGTGTCAAGTTTTCAGTCAGTACAATGCTTGTCACACTAATGTATGCACTGGATTAATGGAAGTACGGTTATGCACTGTCAGTGTGCTAAAGTAAATAGCAAACCTCTGTTTTAAAGGATGCTGAACTTGTAAATTGGTCTGTAGGAATGGAATATCTCTTTAAAGATTGTGCTCTTATCATTCGTCCTTCTGTGTAAGGAGTCACTGAATCTTGTCCCACGATTTGACTAATAATTAACAAAGTTTTGAAGAAAGTTCTAAGAACAAAATGGAGTGCTGCCATCTAGCTCTTCCATATGTGCAGTTACGTGCTCTAAACTGATGTCTTTCCCAAAGTAATGTTAGCCTACCTCTTTGAAATGGAAAGCCTGTGGAAAGAGGATTGTGTAGATTAATGCCAAGGAGTTGGGATGTCTTCTCTGAAAACACCTGGTTTTGATTTTTCAAATAGGCTGTCAGTGGGAGATCCAGGTCCAGTTTCAGAGGTAGAACCAACATTGCAGTACTTGTTTTTTTCTGTGTTGTCCAACTTGCTTGGTTTTTGCTGTACTGTCCTGTTAAAAACAACCAACCAAACAAAACCACAAAAAAACAAAAAAAAAGAAAAATAAAAAACCCCAACTTCTTCCCACCAAATAACTAAAAAAACCCCAAAAATCCCCAAACCCTCAAAAGCCCCTAAACCTGAAGTTTGCAGCCCTTGGCAAGTTGCTGCCATTTTACCCAAATGTGTGTTTGCCAGCAGTGGCAGCGTTTCCTCAGCTCATCTGCACTGTCAGCACTCTGTGAAAATACAGCCCAAGGCCTCTTCCCTTTTCAATCTTTGGCAATTCCACATCTGCTGGTAGAAGGGGAGATGTGTGAAAGTTCAGGATATCACGGTCCAGCAGGTCATTGCACTGCTGGTTACTTTGGTGTTTTAGCCTCAAGTAACTTTTCCCCAATTGCACAGCAAAATTTGGAGTATTTATCTAAAAATCTGCCTGCACCATCCAGTCCTTTCAATAAAGAAAGTTAAAAAAAAAAAATCAGTAAGTTCAGTCCTTCTATGGATGGAGGGGAGAACTAATAGGAAGAACAAATAGAATTAGTAGAAGTAAAAAAGAGAAAACTATAGAATCCTGCATCTTTAAATGCCCTTTTTACTAGATAATAATCTCTTTTATTTTAGCTCCATAAGTATGAAATAGATCAATAAAAGGCTAAAGAGCAAATTAAGATCTTTGAAAAAAGAACACTGATTATTTTTAATTCTTCTACATCTGTTAGGAGGCTTTTATATTTTAGTATTTTAGACTGTTTCTTGAATGTGTTAAACACTTGAATCAAGACATTAATTTAAAGATAAAAAATTTTTAAATTATTTTCTATGATATGTATTTTAAAACCCCCATATAGACTTTTGTGTCTGAAGCTGTATATGTTGAAGCAGAATTTTAGAAAGTAAAGAATTAATTTGAAACAGTTGAGAATGGTATGGAAAATTAAAACATTAAATGGCAGATATACTATCGAAAATGTAATTTTTTTTTTTTTTTTTTTGCTTTAGAGGGATGAATATTGCAGGGCCTTGTTGTGGTTGTAATAAGTAGATAAGCAGCCCTCTGAAATTAAACGTCATGAGATTAAGGAAAAAAATTGTTTATGTTCAGTGCTAAACATTGTGTTCTACAGTTCTTAAGCAGTGTTTTCTGCCGTAATCTTTATGAACAGGCAAGTGCTTTTCTCTCCTCTGACATGGTATTTCATGCCAAGATCTTTTTGATCAAAACCAGTAGGGGATTATTTTAATTAATTATAAATCAGCAGCCTAGATTCTTTAACATTTTTGTTAAAGATTATCCTATTATTTAGTTTTGAGACACTGAGTGTTCAGCTACTAGCTTAGAAAGTTAGTAGTCTTTTCCATGATAGCTTTAATCTTATGTATGAACTCCCACAAGAGTTTGGAAGTCAAATTACAGTTGTAAAGAGAAGTAGAAATACTGCAGAGAGTTTTGCAGGACCGTGTATTCCTTTATTAAAACTGAATTCTTTTACCAGCTTGGCTTAAAATTGTCAGCATTGTGTGCTTGTGACTACAGAGCAGTTTCTGGCATCAGGAGCCTAAACAAAACCCAGTTCCAGGGTGTTTGACCTCTTGGTGCACTTGTCAAAACCTTCCTGGTGTCGCTGGGGGTAAAATGTGTTTGGTAGCAGGCCAACTCCCACTTTGTGTTGTGAGAGCTTGGGAAGAGGTGTGGGCTGGGATCAGGTGGAGTTTGTGAGCTCCAAGTGGATCTCACATGGAGTTTGCTGGCACTGCTGGATATAAAACCTGTGCAGCAGCTTGGAAATCTGCTGTCTTTTTAAATGTGCAGCCTGGTGGAGTGCATGCGTCCTTTCTGGAATGTGGGCTCCCATGTTTTCCAACCCTCCAAGGCTGGGAGGTGGCAGTGGGGTGAGGAGTCTCTGTGCACAACACAGGAAAGGCTTGCCTATTGGGAAAGCAAGAAGGAAGGAGAGCTGCCTTGAATTCATACCATGCCAGTAATTAAGTCATCAGCATGGTTCAGTTACTTTAGAGGTTCAAAAAGAGCTCGCTGTGACACAGCCAGTGTATTTAAAAGCACTGAATTAACACTTCCTGCATGTGAGGAATTGCTGTTGCGTAGTCAGCCTGGGAGCAGTAAACAGGAGGCTGTCATGTGCAAAAGTAAGAGAGCAGCCTGGATTCAGTATGCCCTCAGTACTCAGGAGCTCTCAGACAGTCAAGGTCTTATTTATAGCTGCCCTTGGCTCCTGGGGAATTTAATAGTTCGGGTTTGCACTAGGGGTTCCCAGTGACCCTTCAGACTGCATCTGCTGACGTTTAATTCTCCGAGTGAGTGCTAATTATGCTGCTTGCAGCTCTTTGGACAAGCAGGAAGTGGTTTCCCATCCTCAGCATGCCCTGGCACATAGAGAACATTCCATCCTCCCAGAGTTAGGTTCCTAAGTGGCCTTCCCCTGTATGAAAGGTGTTTTCTTCACCTTTTCTTTGTAAGGTGTCATGATAATCAGCATAAAGAGGTAGCTCGCAGCTGCCTGGGCTCCACCCCATCCCCTCACTGAGAGGAGGGAGGAAAAGGCATCTTTTGAATGTCTCAAGTCCCGTGGCATGGAGTACCAGGACAGTAGCTGCAGCAGGATCTTGATGTGATCTCCCTTTGGCCTTGGCAGTGCCCAGCAGTGCAGACCTGCCAGTCTTTTTACTGGACAGGGCTGGAAAGCAGGAAGGGGCTGTCACCATCTCCCCATTTCTACTTGATTGGTGCTTCCTCTCAGTGCTTGACACCACTCTCTGCTTTGCACTGTGCTCTCAGATAACTTTCTTCCACTGGTGATGGGAGGAACTTTGTATTTCAGAGAGTACTGGGCTGGACCTGGTTATTTTATAGCTGGATTAGGACCTCTTAGGGGAGGGAAGATGCTTTTCATCTGCCCTCATTCCTCATGCCAGGGCTTGGAGCAGGCTGTGCTGAGACCTTTCTAAAGCAGCCTTTAGGCATTCTGTGCATAACTGGTGGGAGGCTTGGTCTAAAATCAACTGCTGGCTCCGTGGTTCTCCAAGCTCAACCTTGTCCTTGTTTTGCAATGTTCTGTGTCCTGAACATCTGCAGCCTTTTGGAGCTTTAAGGGCCACTCTGCTGGGGGGGTTGCTGAGCTCTTTCTTGCATCAATTAATATAGCTTTACCTTTGGCAGCAGCCAAGGGAGCTGCCAGAGGTCTTACATAGCATTTAAAATGCCAGCTGCCAGTCCACAGCAGCTGCCAGCGCTGGAGCTCTGGCAGGGGAATGTTGTCACAGGACAAATGCAGGGACTGTCAGTGTGGACACAGCGTGAGTCAGTCAGGGCAGGGACTTTGTGTACAGAGTGTCCTGACGTTGGTGAATGCCCTCTGACATCTCCCAGCAGGCTGGCACCCGTGTTGCTTTGGTCATACATAGGGAAATGCTGCTGGCTCCTGGCTGCTGTGGTTTGTATTCAGCCCTGAGTGTAAGTAGTTGTCAGAGTGTGGGGTGTGCACTGATGAAGTAATCCCGTGGTGCTGGGAGTCTCTTCTGTGTGAAAGAGTAGGACAAAGCATGGGTGGTAAGAGTGTTGAGAGAATGTAGTTTCTGAAAGCAATAATTTCTGTCACATGTATCTGAATTTTATTTCTTTGTAATGGACTTTTTCTTTCAAATGTTTGTAATTTATCTGTTGATTGAACTAACATGGGATAAATCATAAAAAAATTGAAATTACTGTTCTTGCTTGTCATCATTGCCTTTGTTAATAGATGTGTCTGGAGAGCAGTTGTTTCTTCAACATTTGGATTAGAAGGCTTGGCTGCAGAATTGGAATCTTGTACTTGCTGTTAGTATGGGAAATAGATTTCTTTCCATATTGTTATTTCTTTGCATGAATTGTGCTGGCTATTTTAAGTCAGATGCATACCCATTTACCTCTCACCTGTGATTTAAACCAATTAATTGGACCTGTTGGATGTAAGCACATCTTCCAGCGGTGTCCACATAGGTTCCAGATAATCTGGACTGAATCCAAATCCTTTCCTGAGACTGAAGTCTTCAGCAGAGTGTTCTTTTCCATGCAGTTGTTAAAGGAAGAGTTTTGGGGTTTTGGGGGTGGCTGGTTACTAATGTAGTGTGAATCCATGGAATGCAGGGGTGCATGAATCAGCAGGGTCTCAATGCCAGGCCCAGAGATGTAATCATAGGCTGGCTACTGCAGTATTTACCACAGTGCTTTACATATGGAATTAATCTATGCCCTTCCTCGTGCTGGAAATGTGTGCCTTTGCATAGATGCTGGCTTTGTGTTCCTTATGGGAACAAAAGATTTATGTTAAGCAGCCCAGACCAATTTTAAATTCTTACAGGCACACAGAGCTGTGCTTTTGATACCACCAGCAATGCAAATACTTACAGGAAACCAAATTCCAGGCTCGCTAATGGGAATGCTCTTTGCTAGGATTAGAGTCATCCATCAACTTTTTGATGTTCTAGGTTTGTTTCTACCTACAAGAAAACTTGCAGACACAATAAAGCTCCTGTCCTGCTCTGCATCCCAGATCTGGGCTGTATGGCAGATTTGTCCTTTTTCAGTCTAGGAGGGTTTCTCAAATGGGGAAAATGTAACCCTCAGACCATCAGAGGCTTATTGTCCCTACTGCCCAAGAAGGTATAAACAAAGATAATCAAAGCAGTTGTATTTGTCTTTTAGGGTTTTTATCTCTTCTGACCTCGGAATTCTAAGAAAAATAAAAGCATGATGAGAACATACTTTTCTAACTGCAAATTCTCTGCTAATACCTGATCATTCTTCAGTCTGTTCTTCCTTATTTTATGGCTATTCCCTTAGCCTCTTCCTTCAGAGACAGGCTGAAGCTGTAGTTTGTCTTCTGTCAATCTGTTTTTTGTATCCCCATGCTATTTATTTTCATGTATTGGAATTTACCCAGGATGGCACTAATGTAGTACACATTTCAGGCATGAAGAGGTTAATGAAGCTTTAACTGACTGCCTCATGATAACATCCAAGTTCTTGGCAGCCTCATATGGTGGTTCCTGCCACACACAAGGACTTTTATCCTCTTTGATTGCCACATTTCTATACAGCCAAAGTAGATTTAACAGGATCTTTAGGGGAGTCCTTCATACAGTCCTTGGCTGTAACATCACTTTTATAGTGCCTCTTGAAAACTGAAAGGGCAGCTTTTCGTGAACAGGTAATGAAACCAAGAATTCCTACGTTGAAATGAGAAAAAATAATGTTCATATGAAGGTGTTTTGAAGATGCTTTTGTGATTTAATTTTTGGAAATAAATTTATGGCATAAGAAATTATTCTCAAAACCTCACTGCTGGTCTGATTCTGATCCTTTGGCTGCTTAAACCATGGCACTGCCTCAGGATGAAATATTTAGCTGTTTTTTTTTCTTTTTAATTGAGGAAGGGGGAAAACAGAAAGAACTAAGAATTAAAGTGGACGTGCAATCTTTAATCAAAGTGATTATTTATGGAGATTTCAGAGTAGTTACTAGTGCTGCTCTGGCTGTTTAAAATCCATCATATGACTGAGAATGGTGCCCCTCAGTTCACTTGGATTGCTTAATGCCTTTTTTCTGGGCACTGTTGTGTTGTGAAACAGTAGTTAGGTAAGGTGGTGTTTCAACCAGAGTTAGTTTGGTACTAATAAGCAGTGTGAAGAAATCTGGTTAAAACTGTAATAGCTGGGGGACATTGACAGGCAGAACGAATGAGATATATGAAATACAAACCCAAGGCACTTTCTTCTGCAGTACTCGCCTCATCTGTCTAAAGCCTTGAGGTTTAAGTGTGAGAAGTTTGATTTTGAATACAAGGTTATGTTTGGTCCTGTTGTTCCCTTGACTGTTTGCTTCAGTACATCATAGCAGTCTGTAATTTATTGTTTAGGTCCATGAGATGTTCAGTGTATCTGAGTGTTGCTGCAGCTTTGAATCTTTGAAATAGCTCAGGTTTATGCTTTGGAATATCCACTTACATTTCATTAGCAATTTTGCATTTTCTCTCATTTCCAAAAGGGAAGCCCCTTTATCTATTTGCATTATTTCCACTTAGCAACCATCTAAGTCCACACTGTCACAGCTGGAATAGTTGAGCTTAGAGTTTTGTATCAAGTATACAAATCCTGAGATAATTAGAGTAGTGATGAGTGCTGCTATTTTGAACCCAGAGAAGGAAATTTCTGGTTTTCAAAACTGTGAGTAACTCAGGCAATCTCTTCTGCTGTAAACTGGATGTATCTGTACATTAGAAAAAGTTAGATATTAGAATCCTTTTATGAAATGTTAACTGCAGCTTGATGGTTTTTCTTCATTGAATTTATAACATGCCTTAATTTATTAAAAAAAACCAGCAGCTTAAGGTTTTCTTGAGAGCACAATTATCTATCACTATGCTAAGAGGTTTGATGTGAACAGATTCACATCTCTTAGGGTCTGCAGGGAGATGATTTTTAATTTAATAGTATGCTCCAACATCATATTAGCTATGTTTCCTTGTGCTCAGTGATCATACAGTCAGAGAGCACCTGAAAATAATATGGAAATTTCAAGTGTGGGAAGTGTGGGAACAGCATGGTATAGATGCATGTGAACATTAGTCTTTACCATGCATGATGCCATTTGTGACGCTTCAAATTTTGCAAATTACTGTATATACTAGGGTTTTTTCCACAATAATTTCAAGACTTCTCTCTTTTCCTAAGTTCTCCCAGTTAAACCTGGAAGAAGGAACTAAGTTTGCTTAAGTTATGTAAATTCGAAAGTTAACGTGGTGATAAAGAGCTTCTCAGAAATGGACATGGCAAGTTGAAAGGCAAATCCAAGAGGTTTGGAAAATAATGAGAGACAAAGTGAGAAAAAGAGAAAATGAAAGGTGGTCTCTACAAATGCAATCTGTGTGCCTGGGAAAATGCATGGATAGCCATGATGCTCATCACAGAAGGAATAAGGATCTTCAAAAGAACAAGCAGAACACTGTCCAGCTGCTTTTTTGCATTGTTTTTGTACCCAAAGACATTCTGGGAAGAACCAAAACATTTGCCCAGGTGCTTTTATTGGACAGAAGGCAAAAACAATAAAGCTACTTCCTGATACTGCGCTAGACAGTGATAATTGAGAAAGCTTGATTGAAAAAAATCTATTATAAAACACTAAAACATTATTATCAAGTGAAAAAAAAAAAAACAAAAAAAAAAAAACCAAAACAATCTCTGTGTCCTTTCTATCTCACAATATTCTTGTTGCTGAAAAGCTGAGCCTAATGTATGGAACACACAGGCAGCTGTAGGTGTGAGACACCTTGAGCCAGGAGCTCTGTGGCTCTGCTGGGAGCAGTTTTGGGGGTGGAATTAGGGGGAGGTTTGAGGAGAGCAGGAAATTGCATAAGGACTGCTCTGTTGGCTGTTTACTGGGACAGTGGCACTGGAATAAACAGCTGTGCAGCAGCACAGTGTCTCTTTTGTCATCCAGCCCGACAGGACTGGGAGGACAAACTTGGAAGCTGAATGCTTCCCTGCATTCAGTGAGGGAAGCCCATGGGATAAGGGAGCTTGTCACAGACCCTTGGGAACTGGGTGATATGTGGTGCTTTTGACCAGAGAGCAGAGCTTTCCGAACCCAGAAGCTGCTTCTGCCAGTGTTGCTCAGTGTCTGCGTTAACAGACACACGCAGAGGCTGAAAGCCTTGCCCCCTGCCCTCACCTCTCCCTTCCCCGATGATGTAGAGGTATTTTACAGTTTTCTTAAGGTTCTCTCAGCAGAGAAATGTGTGGTGAAGAGAGCCAGGTTTCTCGCTGCAGCCTGGCAGTGAGATGGGGGAGAGAAGTTCCTCAGCGAGAGGGTGAGCAATGCAGACAGAGACCACGCACAGCTCTTCAGCCTCGGGCTCCTCCTCATCCACTAGGGAAATACCTGCAGACTGACTCAGGAGACACCTCCGTTTGCCCTGCACAATTAGAAGTGATGATTATGAGTGCTTTCCTCACTAGAAGCTGCTGGTGACATTTCCACGTATTTTCTAAGCATATGTAAATATTTGGACCAATTAAACATCTTCCTGCAGGTATAGTATTTTCACAGGAAAAGGAAAATCTTGATTTCACCAAGTAATAAATATGTAATATTATGATCAGATGCTGCTACATTAATCTTGTTTCTTTACAGCCAAAGGTGATTCAGGTGCTGAGTTTTCCAGAACATCAGACATGAATCCAGTGCCAGAAAACAGGTGAAAAAAACCCAAACCCAGCAGGAATTTAATAAGACTACTGCAAAGCAAACTACAAGGAATGTATTTACATGGGATCACTGGCAGTTGTTAGGGCTGATTTATTTCAGTGTAGTAGAATGCAGTGAGTGGACTGTAAAGAAGTGTGTCCTTATATTGAAATTATTACACCTCTAGCAGAGATTAAGAATGTTTGATTTATCTTACTGAAGTCTGTGTTCTCCCCAAGCCTTCTGCACAATAACATCCAGAGACCTCTGTGCTCCATTGTGCAACATCAGCCAGTTAGCATGTCTTACAAGAATACACTTTTTTC